AAAAGCAGAACATTCCAATGAAAAAAAGCTTATTTTTATGTATAAAACACACCTGAACTTAGAGAAAAATATGACCAACATTTGTGAAAAAAGAAGAAAAAGAAGAAAAAAAAGAAAATGAAAAAAAAAACAAACAAAAAACTTTGTTTTTTTTAAAATCGTAATCATTATAAAAACGTGATAATGACTCTTAGAGATTGTTACCACTAAGTCGCAAACTTATCGTAAATTAAATAATATTTTTACCTTTGAATAATTTACAAATTCCTGTAGGTGTCTAGACTCAACGGAATCCAGAAAAAAAGATTATTTTCCTTTGATGTAATACGCCATTAGTTAGAAATTACATCTCCAGTAAACAAATAAAATTTGATAACATTTTTTTCCGTTTTCTATCCTGGAAAATATTGAGTTCTAAACTAACGTATAAGAAGGACTTTTGGACATGATTTCATATTAAAAAAAGGTCTGCGCTTTTATACACAACTGATTACGGTAATCTGCGAGCAATCTTACCGTGTTTACTCAAGATTTTTTTTTTAATCGAGTTCATCCCAAGCAAGTCAATAAAGCCTCCGAGATACAAGGAGTTACTGAGTGCGGAAGAGTTAGAAACAGGAACATTGCTAAGGAGGGAGAAGAGAGGAAGTGTAATCAGGAGAACAGCAAATAGCGATTGGCATTGTATTTAAATTTTTGCAGATTAAAGTTGGATGGAAATCATGGAGCCTGTAAGGATTTCCACACGCAATAAGAAACTATTATCATAATTATCATAGAATTTACGGTTACATCTAGCCAGCACAAATTTAAAAAAAAATTCAAACGTTGCTTCCAGTTTCCCGCCGATATTCCTATATATATCTTTTTCTGTTTAATATCTTCCTTGGGGAAAATTGTAGCTTCGTATATATCACGTTTTCTGCCATGCATATTCCCTCTGCTGGACAAACGAATCCTGTCCTGTAATTACAGTTAGATGTTTTGTTTTGGTTTGCAAGATCTTTTTGTAGTTGATTATTATGAAATTCTCTTATAATTTTGCTATTGTGAGAGATAATATTTTTTTCTACATTGCTCATGCAATAATAACTAATTTTTAAATTCATTTTGTTGAACATCGTTTTCAATAGTTTATTTTTACTAAAAGTAATGAAAGTCTTGTTAATCCGTATGGATAATTCCAAGGAGGCTGAAATCCTGAAAGCTCAATGTTAATGCAGAGCGAATAATTTAATTAAAAGAAAAACAGACCACTTTTTTATATATATATATATATATATATATATATATATATATATATATATATATATATTAAAATATACATATATATATATATATATATATATATAATATAGATATATATTATAATAATACATATATATTATAATAATATATGCATTACAATAATAATAATATATACATATATATATTATATATATATATATATATATATATATATATATATATATATATATATTAAAATAAAAATATTTTTAAAAAAAAAAGAACAGTAAGATATATAACCTGGTGTTCTTAATTGATATTTTTATTTTTTACAAAAGAGTGCTCAATGCAAATTTACAGAGCATAAATATTATAAATTAACTGATTTAAAATATGGTTTCTTCCCTACTCAGGAATTACAATGTTTCAAAAACTGAAGCTAAAAACTTCAAATTTAATTATATAATTAAATTAAAAGCATTAGTTCTGTTTCATCTTCAAGCGAATTTTGGAATAACTTATTTTTATATTCACTGAGCTTAAATGCACATACAAATAATATTTTTTGTTTCCAAGGATACAGAGAAATCCAACCATTTAAACAGAGGCGGTAGCGTGTTCATTTTTATGAACTATTATTTTATCAATTATGAGTTACGTTTGAAAATGAGGTTAAGTCTAGGGTGGGTAGGGGTGCATTTTTCAACGAATTTTGACATCCGTTCAACGCATGTCTTCTGTTTTTTTTTTGTTTTTTTATCAATGAGAAAAAGTTTTTCCGCATCTTTTTCGTTAAATTCGTACTTGTATACATAAATATGTTTATTTTTTTCGTTTTATTTTTGCTATACCCGTTTTGGATTTGTCAACAGAATACAGGTCAATGGAAAAAAACTGATAGCTCGCTTTCACCAGCAATTGTATATGAAATTCGTCTTTAGTTCAGTCATTAAATTAGAGAAATCTATTGTCAGACTTATACGTTTGGTTGGATATTTACTGGTCGCCTTTGAGGTACTTGTCAATCACATTTTTCAAATTCTGTTTCTCTTAAGCAGTTATTTCTTTCAGATGAGCTTCTTGACATGATTTGCTAGTTCAGATTAATATTAATGCCTTTCTTTTACAATTGTCTGTCAGGTGTGACTGAATTTGATTTGTATGCGAATGCGTTTCAAAAACCGAATTGCTTCCCATCTACCTTGGTGACTATTTGACGCTAACTTGCAAGTAATATATTTTTCAAATTGCCTACATGTGATTCAGATGTCAT